GCCGTGGTGGTGCGTGGCGCTGCGTAGCGTGTGGGTGTGCGCTGCGTGCTGTGCGGGCGTGTGTGCGTGCGTGCGTAGTGTGTGTGGTGGTGTAGTGTTGTGTGGGCTATGTGTGTGTGCTGTTCGTGTGTGTGCTGCGTGCGTGCGTGCGCTGCGTACTCGGCGGCGTGCTTGCGTGCGGGCCGTGCGTTGCGTGCGTGCGTACGGGCAGTATGCCGTGTACGTGGGCGTTGAGCACAATGGTGTCACGGATGACGCCTGCAAAACACGATTCACAGTTTGCTCCTTGCTTCAGTTGGCGCGTGATCACACGTCGCGCGCACCACGCACGTACGCACGCTCGCGGGCACGTATGACGCACGCTCACGTAGTACGCCACATACGCCACCGCTCGCGTGCAAGCACGAACGAACAAACGGAATAAAGAAAACGAACAAAAAACAACAAACGAACATTTCGAACAACGAACGCAGGCCGCACGCGCAAGGCACGAACGAAACGAACGAACGAACGACACGAACGAACGAACGAACGAACGAACTTAACGAACGCAATAATGCCAAGCCACGAACGACCGGGCGAACACGCGAACGCATACAGGCACGCGTGGATTACGGCACGCGCGCATCCACGCACACAAACACGCACGCAGCACGCCACGCACGCACGCCACAACACACGCACGAACGCCCACGGCTTTGTGGAAAGCGTGAAATATTTACGAGCGCCGCGCGTTTTCTCCTCCACACAGAACTACGCTAAAACATTAATACCCTTTCACTGTTAATATGCACGAGTATTCAGGCATTATATTATTACTAGCACACAGGCTAGCAAGCCTTACTAAAGGTCAGCCAGTAGCCTCATTACGATTAGGACGCCATGTATTGCATCTCCCCCACCAACACTCCCTCGCAGCCACCCCATCGCCGCTCTCTCATCTCTCTGCGCTTCGCTTTAATTAAATCGTGAATAATCATGCATATCCGGATAATGTGCAAACGTTGTGCATATTAAAATCCAAAGCCACAGCCACATACTCGCATTACAGCGCGCCACACAAAATACACACGCGCCCACACACACGCACGCAGTACACACACACAAGACACAGCACACACATTGTCATTATGGCGCCGTCCTATTTCAACGATGATATACGTAGCCAGATATATCTCTTTGATATGCCGAGCCTACCCCGATTCCTTGTACACTCAACGAACACCTATGTACATGCACGCACACACGCCCGCGCGCACCCGCACACATGAAACACTCACACGTTAGACGCGCACCATGCCCACGCACACGGCGCACGTACCATGCACGCACCAAACAGCCACACATACATTACGCATACACGCACATACGCCCGCACCGAACAGCACACCATATACGCATACACGACATACGCCCTGCACCACATGCCCGCACACTACCGCCCGCACACACGCGCCAGCCCTCACGTCCGCACACACGCCGCACACACGCCCGCACGCCCGCCCACACGCACACACCACACGTCGCACGACACGCCCGCGGCACACACCACACACGCACACACACACACACGTCCGCACACACGCCCGCACGCACGCACACACACACGCCCGCAGCACAGGCCCACACGTCCGCACACACGCCCGCACACACTCGCCGCACGCCCGCACACACCACACACGCCCCGCACACACGCCACACACGCACGCCCACGCATAGCATCGCTCACCCACGAATCGCGGTCATTGTACAGGTCATGTGGTTTTTATTTCTTGGTCATTGCCTGATGACTGCACAAAGAAGTTGCCATAGGCAAGCGAGCGACGACTCATCACCGAAGCGCGCGGGGAGGCCAGTTAAAAAATTAATTTCAGCCGCAAAAAGCCTTTAAAATAAGGACCTTTAATTTCGTGAGCCTCTAATTCCGAAGCGCCAGATTGCTGTAGCCTGACTTCCGCACGAATAAGAATTCTATTTCATTTCGCGGTAATTTTCTGGGCCCGATGGAAGGTAGGCATCTCTTGCCCTTTCTCCATTACCCGGCGACGAACAAGGGTTGCCTTTTTGAATTCGCATGTAAAAATAATTTAGTTGCAAAAAAAGAGGCACAGTGAGAGAAGGAAATGCCAAGAAGAGGGGGATAGAACGCGATTGGCAGATAAAGACGGGATCGGTAAGATAGGAAAAAAATAAAGCGAGAATGAAGAATGAAAGAAGGCTAAAAGAGGAAGAGAGAAGAGATAGGGAGAGAAGACGTTGAGTGGAGGAGGGAAAGGAGGGGGAGGATTATGGTATGTATGGGTGTATGTTCATGTGTGTGAGTGAGAGCAGGCAGCAGAGAGGAGAGATGGGGAGAGATGAGGAGAGCAGAAGGAGAGAGGAGGAGGAGAAGAAAGAGCGCTCTGACGGGTCAGCCGCTCGTTTGTGG